TTTTTTTTTTAACCTAGATTAACAACAGGTAGAGAACCTTTGGGGCTGATGGTTCTTGCTGCACAAAGCCCTGTTTGGAGTTCAGCCTTGTGACCTTATTCCTAACTGGAGGGCAAGCAGGCGCCCATGCTCTGTAGCCCACCACTTTTTATGTACACCCCTTTAATTTAAGAACCATGAAACATCCTGAAAATGTGGAATGGAAAACGGAGTGGGTTGATGTCCCCAGCGCCTGTGAAAATGGCCTGCCTGTCAGAATTCCTTTGAGGAGCTGTCCTGTTTCTTTCCAGGTGTAGCTCACCTAGGCACACCTGATTTAAATGTCGGCCAGGTGGCTGCAGACCCAAAGGTACCATGAGTTTGGGTCCCGTCTCATGATAGGGTTCGTTGTGGTGAGTTTATTTCATGCATGAAAGTTGGCATTGTTTGTGACTTGTTCTCTGTTCTCTTTGGGAGGGAATTTTTTGGTTGTTCTTTTTGGGAAGCGATAAAAACGGAACTACTTATTCAAGTAGCAATATGTGACTCCAAGTTCAAGGCAGCTTTCTTCTCTGCCCACAAAAAAATAATTCACAGAAAACTTGTTCTCTGGCCAACGTTTGTCCCCTCCTCAGCAGGGTGGCTTTCCTTTCTGTTGACTTTAGAACAAATTCAGATTTCTATTTCCAGATTTTGGGGTGCGATCTTCGGCTCCCTTTGGAAACTTTGCTTAAGTGCCAGCATACTTGTGAAAGCCCTTCTATCTGAACTATTGGGCTGGAGCACTCCTGAGGGTTTGGGAGTGGCAGCTGCAATTCTGAATGTCTTTGGGTGCATTTAGCCCAAGCGTTCACACCTGGGGTGGCAGCATGAACCCCAGGAGGGCTGTGTGCCACCTCTGGAGCATGCTAGGCATATAAGGTGTCTTTGAACCTCAGTCTCATTTTCTAGAAAATGTAGTTTAGAATTAGTTATCTGTTAAGCACTACTCAGAGCAGGGGCGCATAATGGATCCCCAAGAAGCTGCACTTGTCACCCTGAGGATAACAGTGGTGATGAGTGCAGGGAGTCTGCTTCTCCAGAGGGCTGGTGATGGGGCAGAATTGATAGAGGAATCTCTCGCTCATGTTCACAAAAGCCAGCGCCCCAAGTGCTCTCTTAGCAGTGCACAAGAACTGTGTAAAAGTTACCCGAATAGAAGATAAAAGAGGAGGCCCCTGAGTCTCCCGCTTCCCCTCGTGTGAAGCAGAATTTCAGTCTCTGTAGAAGAAAGGTGAAGACACTAATTTTCCTTGGAGGCCTGGTGCTGTAAATAAAAAATGTGTAATTATTCTTTCACTAGGCCTTGTATAAAGTAGGGATAATACTGATTGGCTTAAATTAAAAAGAAGTCGAAGGTGGAGACTCTAGGCCTGGAGTGGGAAAAGACACATGGGCTCAAGTCTCTATCCAGGTTTGAGTTCAGGCCTCTACTGAACTCAATACCTTGGCCTCTTCGCCTATACCTGCTGCCTGTGGGACTTGGTCACCATGAGACAATGCCAATACAGTGCCTACCATGGCACCTGGCAGAGCAATGCTGTGTAAGTTGTAAGAAGCTCTGCAATGGTGACGAAGAGGTGGGGAGGAGGTGTGAGCTCCCCAGAGTGTGCCAGACCACTGAGCTGTTAAGCCAGAGACATCTGCTGCAGGCTCAGTCTGAAAAGGAGGGGTGGCCAAGCCCCAGGGGACACTTGAAAGTGAGACAGAGTGAACGTGAGACTCTAGGAGGGCATGAGAATAGAGCAGCCAGGCCAGTCTCACGGAATTCCTTCTCCTGTTTGTCTGGGTAGCTCTGGCACAGACTTGGCCAGTTTCTTGGATGGAGAAGCCCAGGGTGGGGGTGTCTTCCTCTTGTTTCCCTCCCTGTGAGCTTAACATCCAGAGGCAGGGGTTCTTGTTGATGCTGGACATCAGAAGCCCCTCATATGACAACAATGCTGCTTAAGCACCAGCCATTTACATAAACTCTTTATTAATGCATGGAGAAAAAGAATGCAGTGTGACAGCATACAGGCTTAGTTGCCTAATGCCATAGCAGAAACAGACACTGACTTCATACGCCCATGTGGTATGGCTCTGAGATCAGAGAGTGGTTCTTCCTTAGGAAGTGCCACTGGGACATTGTTTTCTATGTTGTCTTAGGGCTGCCTCTTACCCTTTGAGTTTAAATTTCTTCCTTTGTGTGAGTGTGTGTGTGAAGGTACGACCGCAGTTGTGGGCTGGTGTTTCCTATTTATCTAGTTTTGGGTGTCAGCATTTTGCTCTTCTTGGTCCTTTCCTTTCAGAATAACAGGGCTATTTATTGATACAAAGGAGAGGTATTCAGATGATCTTGTTAAGATGCAAAGCTCAAAATAAGCAGTGTATTTTTTATTTGGAGATCCACATCCTTCCTCAAAGGAAGACTCCTGAGTAAAATTGTACGAAGCCCAAGGAGAGGACCTATTTTTAATAACGACTTTGCTTACATTCTAGGTTGTGCAAAAGTTCCCATCAGTGTTAACAGGAATTTGAATAATTTTGAGCAAAAGAACCTGAGAACAAATACTATCATATACATCCAATCATCGCATAAGGAATCAGAATGAAATGATATTTCTGACTTTTGAGGAAAAAAAAAAACCCACGGCATGAAGAATAAACAGATCAGTCAATGGGTTCAAATGAATGTAATAAGCAATTTTATGTCTTTGTGGGGAAAACACAGATAATAAATACAAATGACAAATATTTACAATAGAAGCAACAAATGGGACGTCAGTAGGTGAACACGTAAGACATTTACACATCCAGCACAGGAGGGCGAACAAATGAACCGAGGACCCAGCAACGCGGGAGAAGTTACTGCTTTCGCTTTAGAGTGATGGAAGGAGAAACTGTCAACGTGCCACAGTGGCCATGGCATCGCCGCAGTTTATGTTAGGTTCCCACGGCAGAGCCTGGCATACCGGACCTCTTCCCTGACCACACGAAGGGCACCAAGTCCTGCTCCACTGTTTGCTGCAGCCCAGATCTTTTGGGCACTTTATCTGATATGTCACTGATTTATTTCCAACATGGACTACGCAAGACTGAGAATGGATTCTGAGTTTATAAATTCTAGTTGTGTTTGGGTGAAGGGATCCTCTAGAACAAATCATTTAAGTGTAAACAAATTTAGTTCTGTCTCTGGCCTCCAGTTGCTTCCAGAGAGAGCTAATGGAGTAGACAGATAAAGCAAGATGCACATTTTTTTGGCCCAGTCTCTAGAGTAGGGATCAACAAATGATGGCCTGTGGGCCAAATCCAGCTGAGTGCCAGTTAAATAAAACTTTAGTGGAATTGTGTCTTTGGCTGCTGCCTTTGGGCCTACTGACAAAGCCAGTTAGTTCCATCAACAACTGAATGCAGCCGGGCACCAGTGGCTCACTCCTGTAATCCTAGCTACTTAGGAGGCAGAGATCAGGAGGATCAAGGTTCGAAGCCAGCCCGGGGAAATAGTTAGCGAGACTCTATCGTGAAAAAAAAACATCACAAGAAAAATGGCTGGTGGAGTGGCTCAAGGTGAAGGCCCTGAGTTCAAATCCCAGTACTGCAACAACAACAACAAAAAGAAGCTGAATGGACCATAAAACTGAAAGTGCTGTGTTTACTATCTGACCCTTTATGGAAAAAGTTTATCCACCCCTGATTTAGAAAGACCTGGCCCAGGACACCTGTCTTCTACTTACAACAGCAACACCTGTTTGAGGACTGGCTGCGACAGGATAAGCTTTAATTTGATGGCAGAAATGTTTTAGGTAACTCCTATGGGTCTCCTTCCTATCACAATCCTCTCCCCTTCCCATTATATTTGAGCTCCATCTCTCCCTTCTGCCTTTCTTTTGCCACCTTGACTTCCCTCCTCGTTGCTAAATTTCCAGTTAGGCTCTGAAAAGTTTCTGTCCCTTAGAGATTTCCAGCAGTATCCTCAATGTCAAAGGGACAGTTACTAAGCTGTCTCCATTCTTGTCTCTCCTTTTCTATCTGACACATACAGGCCAAGTTTCCAACTTGGCTTCACAATATCACCTGTAGAGTGCTCATGGACCTTAGATGAAGGTCAAGGAGAGACAGAAACTTCTAAGGGAGTCTATTAGACATCCCGCGTGTGCTTTTTCCTCTGGTATGAGCTCTGACCCAGGTGGGGTCGAGCCTATGTCAGACACAGTGCTGCTGCGTTTGCTTTTAAACAGCACTTAAAACATTCGGCCCCGAAGCTGACCTGGGGGATTAGATTCTTCCCCCTTTGAGTAGGTTTCATGACCCAGTTGCTTTGTGTTTGAAAGCCATTTATTCAGACGACAGATATGTAGATGTAATTAGATAAATAAAAAAAGTGAAATTGAGATTTGAAGCAGTGGTTAAAATAACACAGGGGCCACTCCCTCAGACAGTGTCCCCTAGACAGAACAATGGCTCAGAAAAACAACATATAGAGAACACACTCCCCCTGTCTGCCTCAAGCAGTTCCGAACCACAAGGTCCCATGCGTGACACTGAATTTCAGTGTGGCACCAAGCACCACCATGGTCCCTGCCTCTTTTCCACCCTTCCCCTGCATTGCCAGCCCCATGTTTCCCACTCCTGCCCAGGGCGCAGACAGCACCAGAAGCTGAGGGCGAGGCCTAGCCCCCCTGCAAGGTCAGCCAGGTGGGTGGTTAGCTCTGCCCTAACCCTCCCCCTCACATCCCCCATGCCAGAGTGCACTGAAGCCCGCCACCTGCCTGCTCCACAGATGGAAAGGGACAAAGTTACAAGGCTCCCTTGAGTACACACCGCTGACACCCTGCAGCCCCAGGAGTCTCCGTCTCACCTGTTCAGACACCTGCATGAAGTCCACAATTCCCACAAAATCCTGCGTGTGACATCCGCCCTCTTTAATGGTAAATGTTTTGGAATGTCCACAGATAAGAAAATGGACAGCGTGGAGAAAAGATTTCATGGTCTGGTCTTTCATTTCACCTCCGGATATCAGAGTACTCAGATTGCTCGTCCTCCCACTCACTGCTTCCAGAAGGTCCCTGTGTGCCATGGCCCCCGGCTCTGCCCCGGGCATGGGCATTTGGGTGGCTCTTGTTCCCTCTCTCACCCTTGGTGCCTCTGCTGGCCTCCCTGCTGCTGGGATCTGAAAAGTGGTGGCCTGTGTCCCCATGGTGGGCCCTGGAGAGTCTGGCTCTGTCCCCGACGGGATGGTGCTCAGGTGGCACTGTGGGAGGTCTCTGGATGGCTGAAGTGCAGAAGCTCAGGATGGAGCACAGGCCTCCCCAGTTCTGCTCACACTGAGCCTGGACACTGTGGGTGACAGCCTCTTTCACCTCCTCCCCACAGGTCAGCAGCAGGTTCACGAGGTCCACATAAGGTCTAGAGATAAGAGCAGAGGGAGAAAGACTAAGCATGGAACAAGTCCAGAAGGGGGCGTGAAGAGCTGTGACAAAGGCCATGCAGGAGACATGGGGCCAGTGCTTAGGCTGGGTTTGGTGGAAGACCCTTCCGGCCTCCACCATCATTTGTGGATGGCCTATGGCAGGCATGGGAGAGTCCCAGGTGTGGGAGCAGTTATAAAGACAGCCTGAGGACGAAGGGACAGGGAGAACTCACAGAGGCACGGGTAGAAGCCCAGGGCGGAACACTTAGGTGAGCATTCCAGGAGCGCCCTGTGCAGGGTCCAGATGACAGAAGCTAGGTGGGTGGGTGGGACTGGTGGCAAGCACTTGGGCAAATGGTGGGGAGCCTTCAAAGCAAACTGAGAGGAAGTCTTTTCAGTCAGGCAGCCACAAGAGTTCAGGTTTGGGGAGGGCTCCTGAATGGTGTCCATGAGCCCTGCTTTGCTTTACAAGGACACCATAGCTTCCCCAAGTCTGTCTGTTTTTCCTGGGTGCACTTTCCTCTGCATCTGGAGGCCTCTGCAAGAGTGGAGAGGGGCTTGGGCTCTCTGGGTTATCATGTCCCATGGGACTCTGCCTGTCTGGGTAGCAGAGGCAGAAGCAGGGGAAGCAGCCACCCAGCCATCTCACCTTGTCAGTCTGGGCTTCCCAAGCATTGCAGTAAGGGCAGGTGGTCAGGGCTCCTGTGTCTGAGATGAGGACCTCTCTGTGAAATAAGTACACTCAGATCCTGGGGGCAGAGCAGCCCTGACCATTCTTTAGGAAAACTGCCTAGAAGCCTTTATTCGAGGGTGGAGGATGTGTGCAGAAGGCAGGAGCAGTGGGCCTGTCTGGTAAAGGGTGTTCTCAACAGCGTGCTCTCAGGGCCCACTTGCTGAGCCTTTCTGACCTCACTGGTCTTTTCTGGGGTGAAGGGGTGGGGTTGAACTCAGGCCCTGGCACTTGCTAGACAAGTACTCTACCACTTGACATCCCTACCCCACTTCAGGTTTTTTTTTTTTTTGGTGCTGGGATTTGAACTCAGGGCCTCCACCTTGACCCCCTCCACCAGCCCTTTTTCTGAAGGGTTTTCTCAAGACAGGGTCTCACCAACTATTTGCCTGGACTGGCTTTCAACTGAGATCCTCTTGATCTCTGCCTCCTGAGTAGTTAGGACTACAGGCATGAGCTTTTAGCTTGTTTTTAAGACAGGTTCTTACACTTTTGTCCAAGCTGGCCTCAGACTATGATCCTCCTGTCTCTGCCTCCCAAGTAGCTGGGATTACAGGCATAAGCCACCATACCTGGCCTTCACTGTCTTTTTTAAAACCCCCAAGCAAGGGAGCAGGGGGAGGGGGAGGGTATGGGATGCCTCATACAGCTAACTCACATTCTTCAGCAGACCTCAGCTAGCAAGGTTCTGGATATACTGGCCTTTGGGAACCCTGGGCCAGGAAGGCTTGGGGTTGGGTTGAGAGGAATGTTCTCGATGATGGAGCTTGAGCTGCTGTTTTCTTTTTGGTGGCACTGGGCTTTGAACTCAGGGTTTCACACTTGCTAGGCAGGTGCTATACTGCTTGAACCACTCCACCAGCCTATTTTTGTGATTTTTTTTTTTTGAGCTAGGGTTTTGAAAACTATTTGCCCAGGGCTGGCTTCGAACCATGATCCTCCTGATCTCTACCTTCTGAGTAGCTACAATTATAGGCGTGAGCCACTGATGCCTGGCTTTGAGCTGATTGTTAAGGTCTGCTTATGCCTCTGACTTCAGAGTCTGAGTGCGGCTGATGGGCCTGGTGTTTACACTCTGGAGACAGGCATCCCGCCAGTGACAGTGTGACACTGCCTCCTTGGGCCACCCTGAGGAGGGCCTGCCTGCAGCAGCACAGGACTAAGCTCTGTGCATGTGTGCCTCCTCCCAGCACTGCCTCGGGGGCCCAAAGTCCCTAAGCCCACCTGCTAAGTGCAAACCAGGTTTTAGCAGCTAGCTATACCTGCTGTCCCCTGGGGCCAGCTGAGCACACTGAAGGAGCTGTGTCTGTCTGTTTGGGATTTGAACAGATTCTGTGCTTCAGGCTTCTTTTCTCAGAGTAAGGGGATGCCCCTGGGAATACACAGCTGGCCTTGGGACCTCCTCCACCTGGGTGTTTGACTGCCTGCCAGGTGAACTTTGGAACCCCAAGGGGGATCCAGATCTCAGAAGGCAGGACTGGGCCCTGCTCTCCTCTCCCCTCGGCCCCCTTTCTTAAGAGGAAGCTGTATGCTGCGGGGATGGTCGAGTATGCCAAAGTGAGTTAATCTAAGCCATGTTTCAAGCTGGCACAGTGCCTCCTCAGCTGTAGGCTGGGCCCAAGCCCGTGTCTAATGACAAAACCCAGCTCACTCAACTGGGTGTCAGCGAGGCTGAAGGATTTAAAAAAAATTCTTGGAGGGGGTGTGCCTAAGGCTCCAAACCATCGGTGGCTGCCAGCACCGAGTGACAGAGTGTGCAGAGGCCATGGAGGTTGGCTGCTGCTGGGGGAGGCAAATGATAAGGAGAAAGTGGGGAGGGCAGGAAGGGGGAAGGGGAGCAGAGCAGAACACAGTTGAAGAGAGCTGTTTTAACCACATGTGTGTATTTTGGGGTGGTGTGGATTCTGGGGTGACTGATTCCTTCTTTTTAAATTGAAAAGTAAATTTGGTTCTCATTCTCATTTGTGACTGTGCCATATATTCTGAGATGGTCTTCTTGATACTTGGGGACTAAACAACTCAGGCAATTTAGCTTGAAGTACAAGCGGTTACACCACATAGCTAAGGCTTCAGAACAGGTAAGGTGGTTTCAGGGAGCTGAAGTTTGGTGACAGTCATTGCCCAGAGGTTCTGGCTTCACAGGAAAGAAGACCTGCAGTGACCACATGGTGTGTTCTTAAAACACACTCACAGTTCTGATCAGGGTGGGCCACCTGCATCCCACAGCAGGGCAGAGTGGGCCAAAGGCTCATTCTTAATGGGGAATCCTTTGGAAAGAAGGACCCACTGCTTTACCGGCCATGTTCCCATAAAAAGACACTAGAAAGCCACAGGTAGGAACAAATTCTACCCCAAAGAAGACTTTTTTAAAAAAAACAACAGACTTCTTCTTGCAATGTGGAAATGTATCATAGACATACACAGACTCCCATCACCAACTCTTGAGGCCAAAAAACTGGGAAAGGAAAGGGTGACAGGGACAGTGGGGTAGGGCAAATGAATTTTACGAAGTTTCTCAGCTATGGGCCATTTGCCTTTTCTGGAGTACCTCTAAGGGAATTTCACAGTGCTCTCTGTGCACAATGGGAGTATATTTGAGAAAAGGAAAAAACCTGCCATATTTGAAGACCAATAAGGACCTAGCAGCCCTAGTAAGGCCAGGATAGGCCAGGAGCAGGAAGGACTGAGTTTTGACAACTGTCTTATTTCTCACAACTGGTTTAGTCATATACAGTAAGCCCTCTGCATCTAGTTTCAACCAACCAAAGTCAAAACTGTTTGGAAAAAAAAACCAAAAAAACTTCTCCTGTACTGAACATGTACAGACTTTTGTCCTGACGTTATTCTTAAACCAACTATCTACAAAGCATTTACACTGTCTTAGGCACTATACATCATAAACAGACGGTTTAAGGAAGACAGGAGGATGTGTGTAGGTTGTACAAAAACATTATGTTATTTTATAGAAGGGACCTGAGAACCCAGGGTGGAGGGGTGTCCCGTGGATCATGAGTGACAACTCTGTATCACCGATTTCCAAGCTAAAAAGTAGGAATCAGACCTCAGAGCAAGTTTTTTTAAGCTCAGCTTCACTGTTCCCTGCTAAGTGGGAATAGTCATATCTATATTATGTTGTTGGGAACAACATATGTGATGATCTATAGAAAATCCCTAGCCAACAGCCTGGCACATTGAAAACCAGTTACTATTATTGTTGACGCTCTTGTTGCTATTGCCTGTTTATAGGTATTTGGAAGAATAAAAGCATTTCATAAGGCATTAGTATGACTCAAGGAAAAGGCAACATAATTTTGCCTTTTTTTTTTTTGGCAGTACAGGGATTTGAACTCAGGGCCTTGCACTTGCTAGGCAGGCACTCTACCGCTTGAGCCACTCCACCAACCTTGTTTTGTGTTGGGGTTTTTTTGGAGATAGGGTCTCCTGAATTGTTTGCCTGGGTTGGCCTCAAACTGTGATCCTCTTGATCTCTGCCTCCTGAGTAGATAGGATTACAGACATGAACCACTGGTGCCTGGCTATAATTTTGCTTTTGATAAGAGCTGCCTGCAGAGTTTCACCATGAACCTTATAATCCTAAACTGGAACAGGGGTTTTGCAAGACACTGAGGACCTTATAACCTAATGGGCAGAGATAGGAGATGGCTGTTGGCCTCCACCATCTAGGTGGCACAGGTGGGGTGGGGGTAGCCTGTTAAGTGGAATGAACTGAGAAGCACGAGTTCATCAAACTGTACTGATCGGCCCAGCGAGTCACTATGGAAAGTGGCACCAAGCTGGCCATGACATGGGCTGGACTGCTCCCTCAGCTGGTGACCTTCTGCCTGCATCCTGGGGGAAGGAGACAGTACAGCCTTCAGGGCTGTGGACCATACTTGATGTTAGAGCAATCGTGTACAGCGTGCTTTACTACTCTGCAAGAGACAGGATCCCATATAACGTTTAAGGAATGAGAGGTCCTGAGTTTATCACTGAATTACGAGTTGTCGAAGAAGTTAAAGCTCACGTTTACCTGTTTTAGCATAAAAAGGTAAATGTGATTACAGTTTTTGGTGTTTGTTTTGTATGTTCTCTGGTAGGGAGTAAATTAGTTAGAGAAGGTGGATTGACCTTCTAAGGGAAAGGAGAGCCTGTGGAGGGAGGAAAAAAAGTGATTGCTCTCAGTTTGGGCTAGATTAGAGGCACTAGACTGTACTGCCTGGATTCTAGTCTCTTCACCTCTCACTAGCTATGTGTCCACCTTAGTGGGTCTCAGTCTTCTCAGCTGTGAAGTGGACATGACAGACACACCTCACTTACAGAACTGTTGTGAGGAACAGGTGAAAAATTCACTTGGTAAATGTCAGTAACAAATGTTGTTGGGTATCAGCGGTCAAGGACACCATCAAAGCTATTTGGAATATTAAGAGACCTGTTAGGACTTGGCTAAGGGGAGGACCCAGAGTGTTTCTGATGCTACACGTTTTATGCCGAACAAAAATAATGTTCTGTTTCTGTTGACTGTGATTTCAAAACTGACGATGGACACGGCATGCATGTTTCTTGAAAGCCAGTAGGAAAGGGGGTTCCTAGGGGAGTTGGTGTAGCCTTCTGAGGTCAAGTACAACCGTTTCCACTTGAGGGGAGTTCAGCCTCCAAAAGCAAGCTCCACAAACTGAATGCAACAGCTGTGGTCACCCCTTGCGCCCCCCTTCCAGGTCTCCCTGGAGGCGGTACTCACTCGTGCAGCAGTAGGTCCTTGAAGTGGATCATGTCCACTATGACCCGGATGTTCTCCTGTGCTGCGGAGCACAGGTTGTGTCTGAGGTAGCATTCCCGCTGCAGCTGGAGCACCATCTCCTTAATGGCCGGGCACTTGCGGCTTATGCAGCCGAACCTGTGCCGCAGAGCGTGGGCCTTACATCTTAAGGCATCCTTGATGAAAGACTTGCCCTGAGAGTGGAGAGGAGGGGACAGACACAGAAGATGGAGACTCTGTCACACGCCTGGACACTTATGTTCTTGGGCTTTCCAGGAATTTTATTTCACCAACAATCCCAAGGTGCTGCCTCAGACTGCCATCTGCTAGGCTACATCGGAGGTACATCCAGAGTGACATGACACCTCCGGCACCAGGCCAAAGAGGATGTTAGCCCTGTCCACCAACAGATCTGCCTCCTTCCTCCCCAGCTGCATTTGGAGTTTCCCTTGAACCGAGGCTTCAGTGGCTTTCTGTTCTCATCAGGGCAGCCCGCTGTTAGCTGCCTCGGGGTGACTTCTTTGGAACACCAGGGGAATCAGGCCATAAATCCTTATGGATCTCTGCAAGATTTCTTCCCAAGTGGAGGGTGTCAAGTGACACACTTTCCCTAGGACTCTGGGAGTGTCACCAGATGGAGTGCTTGCTCTGTGGACCTCCCTTCTGCCCCAGTGCCTCCAGTTCAGACTCTTGTCTCCTCCCATCCTCCAAGGAGGCACATTCTTTGCCTTTCAACTGTTAGGACTGTTAGGATTATTGCCTCTAAAAGGCCCGCCTGGCACCCGGCCTGGCAGCATGTGAGTCTGAACGCCCAACTGACAGCCCCTCCCCCACGCCCCTGCCTCTGAGAGGCCAGGCAGCCAGGCATACATCTGGCCCGCAGTTCTCTTTCCTGGCAACCCCATTACACTGCTTATCCTAGAAAGGAGACAGCTGTTGGGGGTGTGGAGGCAAGCTCCAGCTTTTGCTCCCTTATCAACCTCCCTGGCTCTGAGGCATTGTGGGATACCTAGACAGGATTCCCTGCCCCGTCCATTACTATAGAAACAGGCTGTCATTGGCGAGGTCACCCCTCTGCTTTTAGACAGGCCTGGAAGTCACTGAGTTGGGGAAAGTAAACGTGTTTAGGTTGGAAGTGGGAAGCCAGCCAGCACATTTACTTTGGTTCTCCTGTTAGAAGCAACTGAAATGTCTACAGATCATGTCTGATGACTGAAAACCATGTGGCCCACGCATCCTCCCAGTGGCCTCCTCTTCTTTGACTCTCCAGCAGGAGCCAAATGGGATGGAGGGCAGGGTGTACCAATTTATTAAGAAGTTAATGTGTTGAGAATCAACTTGAGAGGGTTGAGAAAATATTCAAGGGCCAAGGCAATGTTCGTGGTGTTTTTCCCTCACATCCTGTGGGATCACCCCTCAATAGACATCTTTCCTCCGGATTTCCTATTATGTTTCCTAATTCCAGTTAATCCAGAAAGGATTCTTCATTAGGAAGCCTCAAGGAGTTCAAAGTTCTACCTCTTTCCTCCCCGGTTTCTGTTTCCCCTTCTGCTACTTCACATCCTCTGCAGTTTCAGATGCCAGCCCTGCCACATCCCCTTTGGTTCCCAGGCACTGCTTTGTCAGGCTTTCTACAGGATGTCAGTGGACGGTGACTGGTGACGTATATAAATCATGCCTGAACTGTTGGCCTCCTCCAAACGTTGTCACCGTGCTTCAATGACATGGGACAGGAAATTGAGATATAATGGGGTGTTTCAGCAGGGCACACAAGGGCCAGGGAGAAAATGAAGGTAAGTCTAATGCCACGTGACATTTGAACAGGTATTTGGGCTGTTGGTACTGGAACCATAATATTACTTGTTGGGTTCCTTTCCTGCCCTGAGCAGCAAACTCAGCTTTTCTCTTGGGGCCCTGAGGTAGCTGAAGTGGGTCAGACACTGACTATAATTATTATATAGAGCAAAAGGAAAGTGTGCAATGCAACTCATTCAGGATTTTTGACTTTTCATTGGGAGAGCAGTCTGCTAACAGAGAAGGATTATGCTCATTTGGAGGACCTGAATTATCCAGCTTGCCTCCCCACACATACACTGCAGATGATGGGGTCTCAGTAAGTGAAAAGAGCTTTTGGAAGGTGGAGTTGGGGTCCTCCCCCTGCTCCTTCGGGGTTCACTGCTCCTACTGTAATGGGCTTTGAAGACTGAGTTTTGAATGGCCAGACACAATGTGTCACCTTAGAAGGTTTTATCATTTACTGTAACTTCAGCATGTGGTTTGTGTAGGAGTTAGCCTACATGGCAGCAACATGTACTCCTGGAGGGGCCACACCACAAAGAGCAGCTCGGGAGATCTGGCAAGTCTCTTTCCAGTAAGCTTTTCCAATGCTGTGTGAACCCCAAACATTCTTCATGCTCATATTGTTTTTACCTGGGCGTCAAATTTTCCAGCGTTGTGCAGAAAAGTCATGCAAATCCCATGTAAGCCCCGAATCTCACAGGAGTTGTTTTCGAAACATTCGAACACACCACATCCCACGTCACCGGCATTGACCAAACAGTGCTGGATCTCAGCTAAAATGAAAATGACATTCAAATATATACAAAACCCTCAGCCAAATAAAAGTTAGTAAAGGGGAAAATGTTACTAATGACTGTTTCAGCATCTAAACGGCCAGAGAAACAAAATTTCATCTTACTGCTACTCAGAAATATTGGTACTTGTAAAAATTAGCCCCAAATTACAAACATCACAATCAAAAGTTAGTTCTGAGCATTCTCTTTTATCCTTCATCCTTTCCATCTTATTAAAGGATTCGTGGGAACGCTTGGTTTGAGAGCAGAAAACAGCTTAGCCTTTTAAACCCACAGACAAAACCACGATTTTAAGATGAACACTGAATTTCATCAACAAAACGCCCTTCTGCACTTAGATTTGTAGAAGTTGCAGCCATTAAATCCCAGCCACTTCCTTCCTGACCCCCAAGAGAGCGTCCAAAAAAGCAGTTTCAATTCAGCTTTATGATTCAACACCTAAAAATCAAAACAAAATTCCTATTAAGGCAGTGCCTCCAAACCATCCGCATTAAAAATACCAGGCTAGGGAAGCTGCGGCTTTTGAGCAGGGGGATGGAGTCAGATGGGGCTCGCCTTGCCATCGCCACTATTCCCGTTAGAGGTCCCTTTTAATTAGGGATCGGGTGTGAGATAGCACTTAATCCCCGTGGCCCTGGAACCTGCTGCCCTCTGAAAGGCCAGACAGGGGAGTTAACTGTCAAGCTGCCTTGTACTTTTTCCCTCCCTCCCCGCCCCCCCCCCCCGATTCTCTGATTTAAAACGACCACAAAATTACATCAGAAAAGTATATTTTGGAAGAAGGGCGGGGTCGGAGCAAAAAAAAAATCCGCATTCAGATTAAATCTAGCGAGAGAATGAGGGGCGTGTATTTTTTTCACCAACTACGGAGAACCACGTTCAGCTCTCAAAGAAAGCGCCAGAGAGGGGGAGGGGTGGGCGAGGGTCTTAGGGTGCGGGTCCCCGGCGGCGGCATGTGGCAATGGGAGGGTTGGGGATGACCCCACGCGCGGCCCGGCAGGACCGCGATTCACCCACTTGGGGCGTCCCTTCTGGGCGTTAGTGCATTTCTGCTCCGGCCATGAGCGCACGCACGCCGCGTCCGCAGCGTTCGCACGACCCCCCAAAATAACAGCGGGGATCAGGGGACGCAGAACGGAGCAAAGAAGCTGTACGTTTTTTCTTTCTCTCCCCGGAGCTGAGAACCGGGCCAGACCGGTGTGCCTCACGCCAGGATCGACTCTGCAGCTTGTGGGTGAGCAGACAACCGGTGGAGGAGAGCCGACGCACGGTTCGGGTCGTGTCACCATTTCTTCGCTTGCTGACCTGGCCAGCACCACCGAGGTACACTTTGCGAACCCCCGTCCCCTTCCGAAAGCAATGATCCCAAGGGGAAAGTTCTCGCTGCATTTTATCTCGCCAGCAAAGTTCTGGGTTGTCGAGCATCTTTGGGGGTTGGTGGTGGGGGGAAGCTCGCCAGCTTTGGAGAAGTTCTCCAGGTGTAGGGCGCAGCCCAGCTCCGGGGACCCTTCGTGCCTCCCATCGGCCAGCCGGGATGGAGAAGTATGGTTTGCAATGGGATCTGGGACTCGAGGACAGGCGCTGGCAGTGACAGGCACTGCCTTCTTTCCCCTCAACCCCGAGGGAGGACAGCAACAAGTCCTGCCCCAGCCATTTCATCACCCTACTAGCACGTGCGGATTCCGGGCGATCCGAGCCCGGAGCAGACCTCTCCTCGCCTAGCGCTCCCCTCTGCACGTCCCGCGCCACGCCGAGAGTTTGCACCGCCCGGGGTGGGCGCCCGATTCCCGGCGAGACGCCCAGGGCGCGCAGCGTGTGTGCAGTGTTCCCTCCCAGCAGCTCCTGGTCGCCGGGGCGCACGCATTTACCTGTGTTCTGCAGGGACAGACGGCCTTTCTGCTGCGAACCCCTGTCTTGGGGACCTTCGGGCGGGTTCGTGGCGTCGGTTCCCCGCGCCGGATCGAAGGTGGCAAACACCAAAACCAGGGTCACGAACTGGCCGAGCCGCTCGGCACACATGGTTCTTGGTATAAACCTCCCGCCGGGAGACCTGGATTCTTTGTGCTCCCCTCCTCCTCCCCTTCCTCCTCCGCCGCTTCCCCTCCTCCTCCCACTCTTCCTCCTTGCTCGCTTTTTCCCTCCTCCTCGCCGCTGCGGCTTGGATAGAGGTTACCCAGCGCCCTCCCGTAGCTCTCCGGAGAGCATGTGACCAGGCCGTTAGCAGCGCCGCGAGTGCCCGGCAGTGGTAGGGATGGTGCCTCAAATATCCCTGGAAGCTCTGGTGTCACTTGAATGAAGGAGTCGAGCAGGTGTTGTCCCGGCGGCTGGACCAATCCGAGACCCCAGCCCGTTTGACAACACAACCGGGAGGCGGGGCCTGCGCCAACTACTACAGGAGGAAGCCGGGCGCCACTGGGAGCGCCCGACAAAGTTGCCGACCTGGCGGCGGCCACGCGTTTGCATGCGTGTGTGTGTGAGCGTGGCCGGAGATGCGTGCGCGTGTGCGGGTGCTCCAGGGCAATGGCCGTACGCACTTCAAAAAGAAGTCACAGCGGATTCCAGCTCGGGTTGCAATTAAAAAAAAAAAAAAAAACAGGCCAGAGGGGACGATCTGCGCTGGGACGCGTCCCCCAGTCCCTGGCACGCATCGGGATGTGAAACTTCCTCTTTCCACCGTTTGGAATTCAGTGAGAGCCTAGCCTCGAGACCTTGATAGATTGGAGCAGATACCTGGACACAGTGATGATGCGGGGAAACTGAATACGTGGGAGAAATTCCTGGCGTCGTGACGCTAGGCATAAAAAAAAATATGACACCTTAAAGATGGGAGTAGAAGCACTAACTAAATTATTTGGCCTGAGCAACTGCCCCGCCTTCCCGCTTTCTGGTTGCTCCATTTTTGGTGGGCTGTGCAACACCTGGAGTATCGTGTCCCGACCCTCCCCCAATCCAGATGGATTCCAGGCTAGGCTGCAGAGATTCAGGTGACAATCCAGACTTGCATCATTTCCAGGCGGGTGGCAGGGAGGCCCGGGCAGCCCTGAGTCAGCCTGCTGCGGAGCATCGCGTGCCCCAGAGACCAGATCTTGAAAGCAACTGTAGGCGTCTCCAAACACTTCCACTTCCCCGAAGCGCTATTCGCCGCCCGCTCCGGGTTCCCTTTACTCTTAAATCATCTGATGGAAATGGTAAAAATCAAAAGCCAAAAAGTCAAATCCGGGGAAATTCTCTCCCTCTCTTCTCGCGTCCTGGTGGAACCACTTTCCCTAAACACCGCGGGGATTAGATTGTCCCCGGCTGGAGGAAGCAGGGAGAAAGTTGGGCGCCTTTTGGAGCGTCTCTTCCCCCTGCTGTGTGTGTACGTGTGAACGCTCACGTCTCCTTCGCGCTGGGATGGGGACAGGAACTGCTTCTGGCCTCGTCAACCCGACGGCGCAATTCGGGGGGCTAGCAAGGCTTGGGGAGGGTGGAAAGCCGAGCGCTGCAACCTAGCGCCCGTGGGTATGCACCCGGTGCCGGCACGCCCGTGCTTCTCCCCCTCAGTCTCCATGCTTCTCTTGTTGAACAGGTGAGCCCGGGTACAGGCTCTCAACCCCCTCCCCCCCGCCCCGCTCTACCGCCCGCGCACTCTGCAGTAATGCATCGGGGAGGTTTCATCACCCACCGCCCGTGGCTAGGCAGCGCCGGGTCTCCGCGGTGGGGCGCACTGCCTGACATGCCTGGGGGAGGGGGTACAGAAACACGTGGGCAGGTCATCCTTCATTTGCTGCTCTGCTTCTGAAACTTCACTTCCCCAGGACCGGCTGTCCTGGGGTGTGGGGAAGGAGGATGCTGGGGGTCAGGGTGACCGCCTCTGGCCACAGCTGCCCTAAGCATCCAGCAGTCCTGAGTCAGGAGGAAGGAGGAGGAGGAGGGTAGGGATGGAGCCTTCCTAGTGGACTTTCCCAGGGCCAAAGTGCCCAGGAGCCTCTGTCAATCGTTCATGCCCAGATTTCAGAGCCCCAGGAAATGGTCTCTCTGAAGGTCCCAGCGCACTGTACTGTGGTGGTGGGAAACCAAACATTCAAGGCATGATTCAAGCAATGACTTCCTGCAGCCTTGTGTCTTCTGCGGAAGGCTGTGAGGGCCTCTACATGAAAGATGGACCATCTACTTTGGTCACCTTGCTTATTTGAATAGTCAACTTAGCTTCCTTTATGAGTTTATGAAAAACCATCTCCTGTGGATCCTTAATAACAAAACAAGCGAACAACACAGCAGTGTTCTGGCCTAGTTTAGCTCCGTAAGACCCTGAATTTCCTACAGCTTCCTTTGCACATGGCCTCTTTTGTATGTGAAAAAGAGCAATACTAGCTTTAAAAAGGCATCTGTCACTTGATGAGAACCAAATGGGAGATTCGGGGGCAAGGAGAGTCAGTTGTGTCAGACATAAACTCCTGGGCACCTGGAGCCAGGCAGAGAGAAGTGACTGGTGCTGGCCTCTCTCATGTCTGTTACACACTGTCTTTTGCCACTGTGAGGCCCTAAACCTGTCCTCAGTGGACCTTTAAAAAACAATCCATCTTGAGGCTGTTTGCTCCAGCTTTTCAAGGGACATTCATAGTTCCCACTGGAGCCAACTGTCTCTCGAACAAACAGAATATGGCTCAAAGAAGAAAGGAGCACAGATGGGCGCTAGTCCTTAAAGGTTTACCTCTGAACCTCTTAGCAAAGGCCAAAACATCCAGACAAAGATGCTCACCCCAGTCAGGCTGTGAGAATTTTGCAGAATCACTAGGCAGCTTGCTGAAATAGTAGTGCAGGCCATGGGCCCAGCATAGAAATGGGGCTGGGGGCACAAGTGGATGACTTTGTTGTGACCTCCCTACCTCCTGCTGATTTCTCTGTCACTCAGGCCTGGCTTGGCAGACTGTGGCTGAAGAGAGTGGGGTAAGGAGAGGACAGTAAACATGATAATGTTCACTGTGATAAAGCTAATGTGACTTGAGGACCAGTATTGGGCCACTCACCAAGGATGAAATTTTGGTCTCCCTCTAGCCCTGAAGTTCACCCTATGTGGGGAATTAAGGTTGGGAAGAGCAAGGATCTGCTCCAAGATTCAATAGAGTCCGGCTGGGTGGGCATTCCTTTTCAGCGTGAGGCATGGAATGATGGGGAGGCAGACATGGCCTGCCTTGTGACATCCAGGGGCATCTGTGGTTGAGGCCTGAGACTCATGTTTTCCTTTCTAAATCTGCTTCACCAGTTTTCTTAACTCAACCAAAGAGGGAAGGCTTGGGGAGAGGGTATTTGGTTAGCTTTTGAAAGATGGAGGAGGATAGTGACTAGAGGTGGCAAGGCAAAGGCAGCGGGGAGGCCAGCAGAGGTAAATGCATGGAGGGGAGGGGGGATCAATTTAGTGAGACCTGCTGGGCCATGGTGACAAACAAGATGGAAGGAGGATCTTGTTCTGTCATCCTTCAACCAGATTTTCTTTAGGAATTAAGGAAGGTTCTGGGCTCAGCACTGACACTGTGGGATGTGATGAGAACAGAAAGGAATGAGTTGGAATTGTGAAGTGGATTGTGATGCCCAGCAGGACAGGTGTTCTTGCTCAGGTGTGAGCAGGTGGGACTTTAGAGGATGGATCCTTTCTTGCCTGCTCAGGCAATGACCACAGGTTGACACTTGCTATTTCAGGCTTTCTGTAAGTCCCAGAGTCTGACTGGTGAACAGGGCTTACACGTGGGGAGCTCCACCCCCCACGCCCCGCCCCCTGGGGCAGGCTGTCTGTGCTGATGGCACCACCTTGTGGTCATAAGGGGAACTGTCTGATCAAACAGTTTAGCCTCTTGTACCTGGCTCAAGGGCCTGGCGCACTGGTGTTTGGGTTATGCCAGCTTCTCAATTTCCTCAGCAAGTCAGTTAATACTGAGTTAGGTAGTCTTCTCTCAATGATACGCTTTAATTATCTCCATCAAGAAAATCTCTTTCAAACTGTTTTATTTTCCCTCTTTCTCTGCATCCTTTTGCTGGAGTTCTTTGTGAACACCAGTCTACCCTAATTGTGGCTGTTATGTGCATGGGTGTGGGGAAGAAGAAAGTTATGTTGGTGAAACTGGATAGTAAAAACAACAAACATGCTGTCAGGCATCCACAATTCTTGCAAGAAGTGGTCTCTTCCAGTCCTTATCATTTCTTACCTTTTTTTTTGCTCAGCACTGGGGTTTGAACTCAGGGCCTCACACTTGGTAGATGGGCACTCTTACCACTTGAGCCACTCCACCAGTCCTTTTTTGTGTGTGGTTATTTTCAACTATTTGATGGGGCTGGACTCCAACCAAGATCCTCCTGACCTCTGCCTCCTGAGTAGCTAGGATTATAGTTGTGAGGCAATCATGCCCAGTTCCTTTTACCTTATTTCATTAAATTGAGTTCAAGATAAAGGAGACTATGTATTGGGTTGGTGGAATGGCTCAAGTGTTAAGAGTGCCTGCCCAGCAGGTGTAAGGCCCTGAGTTCAAACTCTAGTACTGCCAAAAAAAAAAAAAAGAATATACCCTTAATATTTGAATTTGTTTATTATTACTACCTCAAAATTATTTTCTACTAATTTTCCCTGTAAAAATATAGGACTTTAACAATGATAGAGTTAAGAAGGACTTTGTGAGACTGGTCTGGAAACCTACCATTTTATTTTTGGTGGTATTGGGATTTGAATTCAGGGACTCATCCTTGCTAGGCAGCACTCTGTATTTGAGCCATGCTCCCAGTTCTTTTTTGTTTTTGGATAGGGCATAGGGCCTGGCAGTTTTTGCCCGGGCAACTGCCTCTGATAGAGATCCCACTACCTTTGCTTCCCTCACAGCTGGGATAAAAGGCATATGTCACTATGCTCAGACATATAATTTTTTTTTTTAATCTGGGTGCAGTGGTTTACATGTTTAGTCCCAGCTACTCAGAAGGCTGAAGCAGAAGGATTGTTTGAGCCCAGGAGTTCAAGGCCAGCATGGGCCTTGACCCCTACCTCAAATTTCTCTCTCTGGAGGAAAATATATTCTGAGTTCCTCAAACAATCAGCTTTCTAAGTGCTGGAATAGAACCATTTTGTGAATTGGCCATTTCCTCTGTGTCATCAATCAATAGTCAAACCGTTAGTGGATTGACCAGAAATATGAATGATAAAAAGAATTTTTTTAAGTCCAAGAGAATAAAACACTGTATCCCTCACAATAAGTCCCTTTACTGGAAAGAACAGAAGGCAGTAAACATTGGGTGTCTGCTTGTG